GGATTGAAGCCTTGCCCCATTTTTTTTTATTGGTGTGGCACCCACAACACGTATAAAAAGGAGCAGCGCTTTGATTGCACAACTCTGTTTTAGGCTGGTATGCCAGTCACAACCCTACTTACAGAGAGATAGATCAGAGTGCAGAGAAGAGCAAGAAAGATGATTAGGGGACTGGAGACTAAAATATATACAGAATGGTTGCAGGAATTGGGTATGTCTAGTTTAATGAAGAGAAGGATTAGGGGTGACATGGTAGCAGTGTTCCGATATCTCAGGGGCTACCAGAAAGAAAGGGCGGGGGGGGGTTCAACTTATTCTCCAAAACACCTGAAGGCAGGACAAAAAGCAATGGATGGAAACTAATCAAGGAGGAAAGCAACCTAGAACTGAGGAGAAATTTCCTGTCAGTGAGAACAGTGAATCAGTGGAACAACCTGCCTCAAGAAATTGTGGGTGCTCCAAAACTGGATGTTTTTAAGAAGAGACTGAACAACCATTTGTCTGAAATGATATTTATTTATTTGTTTGTTTGTTTGTTTGTTTGTTTGTTTATTGGATTTGTATGCCGCCCTTCTCCCGAAGGACTCAGGGCGGCTCACAACAATAAGAAACAGAGAATACAAAAGTTAAAAAACAAATTAAAACAGAATATCCAATAAATAAGGTTAAACGTGGGAATACCAATTCAAATTTAAGATTCAAGAATTTAAAAAGCTACAAAATCAGTCTAGAGTCAACCCAGGCCTGCCCGTTGGAAGACCCAGGTCTTCAAGGCCCGGAGGAAGGTTCGGAGGTCGGGGATTATCCGGAGCTCCAGGGATAACGTATTCCAGAGGGTAGGGGCTCCCACAGAGAAGTCTCTCCCCCTAGGGGTCACCAGTCGGCATTGTCTAGCCGAAGGTACCCTGAGGAAGGTTTCCCCCTTGAGCAGGGGGTTGGACTAGAAGACCTCCAAGGTCCCTTCCAACTCTGTTATTCTGTTAATCCCATTACACTATGTGCCCAAGTAGATTCTCATTTAGATTCTTGGAGCAGATTTTACAGCAATGCTGTCACTTGAAGATGGTCCAGCAACATTACAAAATGTTGCAACGTGAATCCTGGATGTTATGAACATATTGCTCTGTTTTTATTTTTTCAGACTTTCAAATCACTTCCAGGTAGTCCTCAAATTATGACCACAATTGGGACCAGAACCATGCTGATACTAAGCAAGGTGGCTGTTAAGTAAGCCAGGCCCAATTCTACGAAATTTGGGCCGTGGTTGTTAAGCAAATCACTGCAATCCTTAAATGAATCATGTGGTCCTTAAGTGAATCCGGCTTCCCCCATTGACTTTGCTTGTCAGAAGCCAGTTGGGAAAGTCACACATATGGTGATCACATGATCCCCAGGATTCCGCAACCCTCACAAATACATACTGGATTCCAAGCACCTGGTTTTAGGACCGGTTGTAAGTGATTTTTCTCTGCACTGTCATAACTTTGAACAGTCATTATACAAACAGTCATAAATTGAGGACTAACGACAGTACATTAATTTTAAGCCTGTATGCTATTAAAAACTTCGGAACCGTTCTGACTGCTGCTTTTACTGTTTTCTTTTTTTTTTTATTTGCTTCCCTTGTATTTTAATTTTTGAATTGACGGTGGATTTTAAGGGATGGCAAGAGCAAAGTGATGCAGTGTTCCAATATTTAAGGGGCTGCCACAGAGAGGAGGGCGTCAAGCTATTTTGTAAAGCACCTGAAGGCCAGACCAGGAATAATGGATGGAAACTGAGCAAGGAGAGATTCAACCTAGAATCTAGAAATGAGGAGGGATTTTCTGACAGTGAGAACAATCAACCAATGGAACAGAAGTTGCCTTCAGAAGTTGTGGGAGCTTCATCACTGGAGGCTTTCAAGAAGAGATTGTACTGCCATCTGTCAGAAATGGTGTAGGGCCGTGATGGCGAACCTATGGCACACGTGCCACAGGTGGCACTCGGAGCCATATCTGTGGGCACACAAGTGTTGCCCTAGCTCAGCTCCAGCATTCCGGCCAACTGATTTTCGGGCCTTTCGGGCTCACCGGAACTCAGGAAATGGGCCATTTCCAGCCTCCAGAGGGCCTCCAGGGGGGTGGGAAAGGCCATTTTCACCCTCCCCAGGCTCCAAGAAAGCCTCTGGAGCCTGGGGAGGGTGAAAAACAGGCCTACCGGGCCCACCAGTAACCTTTTTGCCGTCGCGTGCCAAAAGTGGAGGGATCGCGAAGGGGGGGGTCACACATGCATGTGGTGGGGGATGGGTCGTGGGGGGAATTGAATTATGGGTGTGGGCACACACATGCGTGTCCCCCCGCATTCCCCCCACTTTTGGCACGCGACAGCAAAAAGGTTAGCCATCACTGGTGTAGGGTCTCCTGCTTGGGTGGGGAGGTTGGACTGGATGACCTACAAGGTCCCTTCCAATTCTGTTAATCTGTAAAAGGCGGAACACCCTTTTATTTTTTTAATAGCCCTATATTTTGTATTTCCTATAACAACCTGACATACAAAAAAATAAATAAGTCAAGGCAATTTTCTGGTATGGCACAAAACTGAAGGAAGAATCTTTTGCTGCTTCCATCCAACATTTAGTACAACCTCTTAAAGGTATCAAGAAAAAGGTGCAACTTCAGTCAATCCAAGGAAGTCTTTAGGGGGAAATATAGGATATACAGGTAGTCCTCGACTTACAATCACAATCGAGCCCCAAATTTTTGTGGCTAAGCAAGACCGTTGTTAAGTGAGTTTTGACCCATTTTACGACTTTTCTTGCCACAGTTGTTAAGTGGATCGCTGCAATTCTTAAGTTAGTAACGCGGTTGTTAAGTGAATCTGGCTTCCCCATTGACTTTGCTCTTCAGACGTTTACAAAACGGGATGACGTGACCCCAGGACACTTCAGCGGTCATAAATTTACATGCCAGTTGCCAAGTATCCAAATTTTGATCGCGTGACCAAAGGGATGCTGCAATGGTCATAAGTGTGAAAAACGGGCATAAGTCACTTTTACAGTGCCGTTGTAATTTTGAATGGTCACTAAATGAAGGGTTGCAAGTCGAGGACTGCCTGTATATATACTTGTTTTGGTTGTTGTGGAACCAATACGGTTCCTTCCTAGGGCAAGCTGGCCACTGGATGGACGGTGGATGGACGGTGGCAAGAGTGATTTGTATTTCTTTCTTAACATCCACTGGTTGTCCAGATTTACCCGGCTCAGATAGCATTTCATCTTCATATCTTCCTGCAGGTGCTGTAATTGACAAGCTGACAAGATGTGTAACATGGATTGTGTTGCCAATGCTGTAAGGTCAGCCCTGAGGACTGTAAAAAGGGTATTTGACAAGACCAAAGGTAAGAAAAGGGTTGTTGAAAAATGCCTCATTGTTTATACTAGATACAGATTAGCCTTAATAAAGCTTTATGCAAAGCTGCTCTAAAGACCAGCTATGGTTAGCTCTTGATTAATCCCACTGTCTTATCCTGGTTAGGATATTTAGCATCATACGCTAAATAAATAAATCCTGGTGAAGTAGCCATTTCAGCATCTTCAAGGAATGGGGGAGGAGGATATGCAAGGAAGCTGCACATTTACAAAGCAAAACAAAAGGAGTGTATTGTTTTAAGAGGTGCAACTTAAAAAAAAATACTATAATTCACTAATTTACCTGTAGTATAGCAGGGACATGGTGGCTCAGTGGCTAAGTCGCTGAGCTTGTCGATTGAAAGGTCGGCAGTTCAGCGGTTCGAATCCCTAGTGCCACGTAATGGGGTGAGCTCCGGTTACTTGTCCCAGCTTCTGCCAACCTAGCAGTTCAAAAGCAAGTAAAAAATGCAAGTAGAAAAATAGGGATCACCTTTGGTGGGAAGGTAACAGTGTTCCGTGAGCCTTTGGCCTTTAGTTATGCTGGCCACATGACCACAGAGACGTCTTCGGACAGTGCTGGCTCTTTGGCTTTGAAACAGAGATGAGCACCGCCCCCTAGAGTCAGGAACGAATATCATATATGGTATGTGCAAGGAGAACCTTTACCTGTAGTATGACCAAAAGAGCTCAAGTGATTTCTTTTCAGGGGAGGCTGTTTCTGGAAATGAACTCTCACAAGCAACTTCAAGGCCCCAACTCACTTAAAAAAATATTGTATGGGTGTGGGTTAATTCCAGCTGCATTGAAAAGCACACAGGGAAGGAAAATACAGAGACTTATCAAATGAAGTTAAGCAGACCACTGTATCTTAAAACATGTGCATTGATAATACAATTTGCTAGACATGTTTTGACAACCGGATATCTTAATGATCAAAAGATAAATCTTCCCACGTTTCAAAATCTGTTTTATGCATTGAATTGATTTTATATAGGCTGTCCTGTTTCTTCGGGCTTTGAGGCATGGATTCAACACCCTCCTTGTAGTTGTGTGTCTCTTAATGACCTCCAGGGCAGGCAACAGGCAGGCCAATGAAATGATTATGTCACTTAAGGGGTGACATCGTGAAATTGTTGGCCTGAGCCCTTCTCCAAATCTTGGTGTCTTGCTTACGCACAGCAACTTCCAATATGTCTAATTATGGGCAACCACAGTGTACGGTGATAAATGGCTATAAGTTGTGAATGAACATCCCATTTTGTTTTAAAGACTGAAGTCACATATTCAACTAAGATGTCATGTCACTTCTTGGTTTTAGCTTATCATATTTTGGGAATTCAGCCAGTTATGGTTTAGTCAGGACGCCATAACTAAGTAAACCATGGATTAGCACAGCAGATGACTCAGTTTATAATAGCTTTATAATAGCTATAATAGCTTAAAGAGGTCCTAAAACAGCTTTTAGTCACACTAGATGCTGTTTTAGGACTTCTTTCCAGAGCACGATACCATAGTCTTTTGAGACTGAAGGATGCCAATGAAGAATAGCTTTGTCTGATATAGGGACTACCTGGTGTATTAGGAATGCACTCGCAGAATATTCATTCAATGTGCCAAATGCTTGGATTTATTCTTGTTATGGTCCCTGACGAGTAGAATTCTGGGAAATCAGGAAGCTCAATGGCCTTGATACAAAATGAAGAATTCCTTATTTACCACTTTATTACAGCTATACTGGGTGTATAAAGTCAATCCAAGAATAAATAAAATACAAAAAAGAGGTCATAACAGCTTGTCAGTAAAGTTTCTAGTTTCTTTCATCACTAATGAATTCTTAAACACTGTTACTCAATCTTGGCAATATCCCAGACTGTTTTGGGGCTAGGGAATTCTGGGAGTTGACGTCCGCACAACTTAAAGTTGTCAAGATTGATAAAACATTGGGGTAGAGAATCCAATCATTTTACTCCTAAGTTCCTATTTCAACTCTGAAAGCTATTGGTTCATTGAGGAGAAAAGTTCCTACTTCAACTCTTCTCCTCAATGAACCAATAGCTTTCAGCTTTCTCATTCACCTAGTAAATATTCTTATTCATTCAATAAATCTACTTCCTGTTCTTTCCTGACCTCTGATCTTTTGGCCTTTATTTGTCTTTCAGAAGTGATTGAGCATCCTTTTGAGGAACCCAAACCAGGACCTAACAAAACAGATTGAGGTCGTGATGGACTTCGCCATCCTTGATATGCAGAGATCTTCTATATTGTTAAATAATTCCATGTAATATTGGGTTAAAATTCCCAAAAAAATAAAAGTCATGTTGACCTGAATCTTCGTGTTGGCTTTCTTCTGACGTGTCTAAGAAAGGAGCTACTAAGTTGAATTGGCTTGTTGAGTTGGCAAATGTATGATTGAAAGGCTGTAATGCAACGCGTCACTCTTTCTCTTAATTTATTCTGCTCTGGGAGCTTCAAAATCACGTGGCCACAGGTTAGGTAGCATGCTAACCACATGTTTATGTAATTATTTATCTTATATCAAAAGCTACAGGTTCAGACTAGGCAATAATTGCCTACTCCAGGGAGGAAATGAAAATGGGTGAAATTATGGAAAGTATGAGATTCCATCTCCACAGAAAAGCCATATACCTTTCCAGCTATTTAGTCACATCTAATATTTCTTATCTTTTCATCTCTGGGTTCCATCGCACACATTCTTCATACCACTCATTTCTGGCTCTGAAGCTGCCCATCCCTTTCCAGTTACATTGCTTCATTCCAAGGACTAAATTGATATGTTTTTCTAGTTTAAACCCAGTTTATCCAAACTCAAGAGGATTTTGCAACATTAAGACTGGAAGTAAATTGCTTTTCTGTTGGTTTTGTTTTCCTACCTCCCACCCTTTCCAGTCCCTGGTCAGAGTCCACTACAACTTACCTAAGGCAGAAGAGATTATTACAGCTTTATCAATGATTTTGACCTTAATCAGTTTCATAGCCTTGGAAAGAGATTGTCTGGCTTGATTCTCCTCCTTTTATCAGCAGGGTGAATTTTCATATCATTCTGTCAAAGAAGCCCATCTTCTGTCTCTCCCCGTCTCTCTCACACACAGGCTCTCTGAGGCATCTATGCAACTGTTAGGAAAAATATCTGATTGTGACAATGTTGTCATGTTGTTCTGCTAGCATCATTGCTACTTGGGATTTTTTAAAAAATAAAAATAAAAACAGCAGGAATAATCCATCCCAGTAGGACAGCTTTCCTTCTCTCTAACAACTATGTCCTCTCTCCTCTCTCTCTTTCTCACCTCTCCCTCTCTTCCCCTATTCCTCTCCCTCTCCTCCTCTCCCTCCCTCCTTCTCCCCTCTCCCTTTCCTGTCTCTCCCTCTCCTCCTCTCCCTCTCTTCCCTTATTCCTTTCCTGCCTCTCCTCCTCCCCTCTCTTTCTTTCTCTCTCCCTCCCTTCCCCCCTCTCTCCTTCTTTACCTCCCACTCTCCGTTTTTCCAGCAAGTGTCTGGACCAGCATTTCTCAACCTTGAAGATGTATGGATTTTAACTCCTAGCATTCCCCAGCCAGCATGGTCTGGTTTGGCCTAGACAATGGTCTGGACAATGTCCACAAAGAACACTGAAAGTGTGAATGAAGAGAAGCGTGTTCTGGTTATGTATTTTTTTCCCATTCGATTGGATTTAAAAGGATGTTGGCAGCTTTGGGAGCTGTGGCAGCTCAAAACACACAGATGCTTACAGGGGTGTTCCCAACATATGGTCAAAAAATGTCCAAATCTGCTTGTTTTTTATGTGTATTGCAACGAAAGCTCTCAGGGATCCCCAAAGGGTATGTTCCAAAAAGTAAAAATGGGGCGACTGCAGGCAGAGGTTCAATCACCCAATCAGGGACTCTTGGTTGGGTTGGTCCAGTCTTCTCTTGGTTGGGTGGAAGAGAACTTTTTTTTTTTTTTTTTAATTTGATTTATATGCCGCCCTTCTCCGGAGATTCAGGGTGGCTTACAGTGCGTTAAGCAATAGCCTTCATCCTTTTGTATATTTATACAAAGTCAGCTTATTGCCCCCACAACTGGGTCCTCAATTTACCTACCTTAGAAAGGATGGAAGGCTGAGTCAACCTTGAGCCTTGGCGAGATTCGAACCTGCAGTAATTGCAGGCAGCTGGTCTTAATAACCAGCTTAATAACAGGGTGCCTTAAACCACTACCAAGGCTCACATGAACTTGACTTGTTCATGAGGGTCCTTCTCTACCCTCAAGAGCAGAGGTCTTCAAACTTGGCAGCTTTAAGACTTGTGGATATCAACTCCCAGAATTCTGGGGAGTTGACATCCACAAGTCTTAAAGCTGCCAAGTTTAAAGACCTCTGCTCAAGAGTTTCAAGATTATCTGATGTAAAGAAAATAGAAAATTTGCTTCCAACTACTTAGTAAGCACAGGGGTCCCTGCAAGCCACTGTGATGTCAATACAGTGAAAGTGTACAGTGTAAGGTTATGAAGCAACACACTACTCCTCAAGTTACAACCATAATGGAGTCTGCCCATCACCGTCATAACTCGTGATGGTCATAAATCGGATCACCCATGTGACTGATCTGATTTTTACAACCTTTTTTATGGTGGTTATTAAGTGAATGCTATAATCATAAAGAGGTTATTATGCAAACATTGCAGTCATTAAGCGGACTAATGGTTCACTTTGGGTGCAGTTTTAACAAAAAAAGTCTTAAAATGCAGTCCTGTGACTGTAGGTCGCTGCAAATGGTCATAAATGCAGCCTGGTAGCCGAGCACCTGAAGTGTGGCCATGTAGGGGTGGGTGACCATTAGAACTTCAAATCTGGGTCATAAGTATTTCCCAGAAAGGTCTGTTGCAACTTCAAACTGTCACTAAGCAACCGGTCGTAAGTCGAGGACTACCTGTCCAAATGAGTGTCAGAATGTCAGACTAAAGATTGATTGTAACACCACGATCTACTGTTAGGTTTCATTAATTATTGTCCCCTTTCCTTGGACTGGGATCAAATACAGAGTGAAAACCAGGGCTGTGGAAACGCCCCTTGTGCAAGAGGCAAGAAACTCCCAATTGCAAAGATTTCTCTCAAATCTTAATCGCAGAACAGCTCAAGTTGGCAAGGAATGCTAAAAATAGCTGCATATGCTTCTTTAGATGTGATCAAAATAGAACGCCAGAGACAAAATGGAATTACAAAATTCTAGTATCACCTTCTGGTCACACAAACAGACAGCTGAATTTCATCCCACATATTTGTAGCTGTTCTTGCTATTATTGTTATTTTTTTCATTGCACAGGAATCCCCCAAAACTGTAAAACTCAATGCCTTATATGCAGAAATTAAATTATAATGAAAAGGGGCATAAATCTATGTTTCTATTTGAGCCGTGTTGAGGGGAGTGGACAGTGGATGGAAGGGAAGTTGTGGTGAATAGAATGGCAGGTTTATTTATCATTATTGCCAATATGTTAATACTTACTAAGCAGGGGTGGGTTCTACTTACCTTTACTGCCAGTTCGCAACGGGATCGCGCACGTGTGCCCACTTCGCTTGCATGTGTGACTTGCTTCTGTGCATGTGCAGATTGCTGATGATGACATCTAGGGCAGTGGGCGGGGCCTCCCGACGGTTTTACTACTGGTTCTTGCAAACTGGTCCGAACCGGGGGCAACCCACCACTGTTACCAAGGTAGTACGTGGTATTAAGGAGCTTATAGGTACTTTTTGACTTACGACTACAATTAGGACCAGAAATTCTGTTGTTAAGCAAGCTGATTGTTAAGTGAGTTGTGTCTAATTTCATGAACTTTTTTGCCATAGTTGTTAAATGAATCACTGCAATTGTTCAGTGAATCATGGGGTCATTAAGCAGAACTGGCTGCCTGACATACAGTCATATGACTGTGTGGGGCTGGGCGACTGTCGGAACTTTGGATCTGGGTCCTAAGAACCCCCAGTTTCAAAGGGTTGTTAAATTGAAGATTATCTAAGCATTCAAAAGGTTTTCAAGAAATGGATGGATCACTAAAATCATATCAAATCCAACTTGCTTTCTGAATTAATCCCCTGGCATCAACACAAGGACAGGGAAAGGATACTCCACATTACAGGTAGTCCTCGACTTACAACAATTCATTTAATCACCGTTCAAAGTTACAACAACACTGAAGAAGTGACTTATGACCATTTTTCACATTTACCACTGTGATCAAAATTTTGGCACTTTTTTTTATGGTTGCAGTGTCCTGGGGATCATGTGATCACCTTTTGTGACCTTCTGACAAACAAGGTCAATGGAGAAGCTTGATTCGCTTAACAATCATGTTACTAACTTAACACATGCAGTGATTCATTTAAGAACTGTGGAGAGCAAGGTTGTAAAATAGGGCAAAACACAATGTCTCCCTTAGCAGCATAAATTTGGGGTCCAATTGTGATCTACCTGCATTAGCTTTCTCACTTCCAGTTTTCAGCAAGATCTGTCAGTGGGATCCCTCCCCACCTTTGTTGTAAAATCAATAGATAATTTAATTATTCCCTCATTGCATGTCTACAGTTATTTTATAAATTTTCTTTTAATACAAACATTCCATCTTTCATTAAACAGTGTGTCATCTGGGTATAAAATTCTTTGTGTCTTAACAATTAAACTTACCACCATATTCATTTCTTATATTCATTCTTATATTAAAGTAAAGAAGAGAAATGTTAGGTTTATGCTACTTTATCAGTATTATTAATATTTAGTATTAATATAAGCATGTTGTATATGTCTGATGAATATTGCTCTCCTCACTCCCGTGATAAAATATCAGGAATTTCAGGACAATTCCTTCTTTGTGGCGTAATATTTTTCTACCTAAGTGATTTTTTAAAAATTCAGCATAGCACACATTTAGGAAAGTTTCTTGGTACCCTAATCATATTTGGTACCCTAATCTCTCCATCAGCGACTGCATCCTGTTCCATCAAACAGCGATGGAACTTATTCCTGTCCCTGAAGTCATTCCATTGCCATGGCAACTAGGGAATCAGACTTGACAAACCAATGGCAACCAGGAGAGATAGTTGCTATGGCAGTAGTTGGCAGGGCCCCAAAAACAAAATGGTGCAGGAGACCCAACTGAGAAAATGTTAAGGCAAAGGCCAGAAGCATCTGCTTGATTATCTCTTTCCGATGACGGAATATTCGCACGCCACATTAGCCGTCAAACAGGTGAAGCATCTGCGTCATTTCGATGCTTTAACATGATGACATTGATGGGGCTTGCAAGGAAAGAGGTAGTTGCAATATTATCTGGGGATTTCTGAGTTTTTCCAAAGAGATTTCTCAGGCTAAAAAAATAATCAGCTCTTTAGGACCTCATTATCAGAAGGGATGATATGCCAAAAGGAAAAGAAGGTCTTAAATTCACACATAAGAGGCCTACATTACCCTTCAACCATAATAATCCATATTTGCACCTTGTGCTGCAAGGACAAAGCAAAAACTAGCTGAAGAAAAGCAGAGAGCACAAGAATGCAAAGACTTGCTCTTTTCAATCCACTAAACCAGGGGTGGGGGAACCTTTATGACCTGTGGACTTCAAGAGCCTTGATAGTACAGTGGTTTAGTGCACCCTGTTATTAACACAGCTGCCTGCAATTTCTGCTGGTTCGAATCTCTCCAAGGCTCAAGGTTGACTCAGTCTTCCATCCTTTCTAAGGTAGGTGAAATGAGGACCCAGTTTGTGGGGGCAATAAACTGACTTTGTATAAAATATACAAAAGAATGAAGGCTATTGCTTAATGCATTGTAAGCCGCCCTGAGTCTCCGGAGAAGGGCGGCATATAAATCAAATTAAAAAAAAAAAAAAAACTCCCAGAATTCTCATGGCTGGCTCAGGAATTCTGGGAGCTGAAGTCCACAAGTCATAAAGGAGCCATAGTTCTCCACCAGTGGTGGGTTGCCCCCAGTTCGCACCGGTTCTATAGAACCAGTAGTAAAACCGGCGGGAGGCTCCCCCCACTGACTCTGATGTCATGAAAACACTTCCCCGCGTGCGCAGCCCTGTTGCGAACTGGTAGTAAAGGTAAGTAGAACCCACCCCTGTTCCCCACCCCTGCACTAAACAAATGGGATGTGTTTCAGGGGTGGGTTCTACTTACCTTTACTACCGGTTCGCAACGGGATCGCATGCACAGATCGCCTATGACGACATCCGGGGCGGT